ACTGTATTTTGGGCTGAGAATCCTGTTGGAACCCCGATAGATGTTCTTCTCGACAAGCCAACTGAACCAGCAACGTTCTACAAAGGCAAGGCAGACTATATGAAGGAACCACTTCCAAAATATGTTATAGAAGCTTTATGGAAGAAGATGATTGAGATAGAGAATATTTTGGTGGATATGAACCCTTACGGTGGAAGGATGAGTGAGATTCCTGAGTCAGCAACGCCATACCCTCACAGAGCTGGAAACCTATTTTTTGCTCTATACTATAGCTCGTGGTATGATGAAGGGACTGAGACCACTGACAAGTACGTTCGCTTAACAAGAGAGCTATATGACATGATGACTCCATATGTCTCCAAGAGTCCAAGACAGGCCTTCCAAAACTACAGGGATCTCGACATTGGTGTGAATCAAGATAATCAGACTAGCCTTAGAGTTGCTACAGTTTATGGAAGGAAGTACTTTAAAGGTAATTTTGCTAGATTGGTGCGGGTGAAAACCGCGGTTGATCCTCATAATTTTTTCAGGCATAAACAATGTATCCCCCCCTTTTAGAGAGAGAGAGAGAGAGAGAGAGAGAGAGAGAGAGATGTATGGATAATAAAATTCCACCTCATATATATACATATATTGTGGGAATAAGTGGAAGAGAGAGAGAGAGAATAAGTAAAAGGTTTAGATGTATCATCTTATGAGATGTGTGTGTCATGCTTGATTATGATATCCATGTAACCCACATTGATTTAATGTATTGTTAAAGATGATGAATAAACTGAAGTTCTATTTATTTGCAATGATTTGTATTTTTTTTATAAAAGGATTTTTAACTTCAATGGTCTCTAAACTTATATTCGAATTTCAATTGGGTCCTCAAAGATTGGGCGGAGGCAAAAATTGAAAATGAGATTCTTCCCAAGCACACCACCCAAAACATAGAACAAGCATAAAATCACAGAATTTGCAGAAAAATAAAATAATGCGACTGAAATTGAATTATATGTGTAAACATTACACAAAAAGAAACTCCCCCTAAATGACATATGGTTCAAGCACAAAACTATCAAACGAAGGGGCATCCAATGAAATTATATTTACACACCATATTGCAAAAGCAACACCTAGCAAATAAATTGCAAAAAAATAAAATATTGAAGCATCCATCATAATAAAATTTTGAGAAAGAACTAAGCATGACCTTAATTTTTTTTTTTTTTTTTTTTTTTTTTTTGTTTGGGGGTCAAATTGGGAACATGTGAAATAAAATAAAATACATAATAATTAAGTCTTTAGGTTCTCCATATCGACGTCCAGCCACCACAACCATCCAAATTCGCATTCGATAAGGGAAAATTTAGTATCATTTATCTTTTTCTTTTAAATAATAGTAGTTATTTATTCGTATTGTAGTTCTGCAATTTTGGCATAATAAGGGATGCATGTGATGGAAGTTAAGGTTCCACTCCAAAATCGATTGGTAATGAGGGGAGTAACTCAACTCATTATAAACCCAAGATAGCTCTCTTAATTTTGAATGTGAGCAGGAACACTCTTAACACGCCCTTGTAGGTGTGGCGAACTTTTAGCCTAATACGTGGATAACACATATTTGGTGACATTGAAGCACGTGTGGCCATTGTGCCCAACATGTGAAACCTAACTATGATACCCTGAAGAAAGTTGAGGTTCCACCCTAAAATCAATTGGTTTTAAGATGAAACCTCAACTTCCTTCAGCATATGACACCAATGGAAATAACCCTAATAATTTAGAAAACTAAACTATTTCGAACCCTATATGTTTCCATTTTATTAATACCAACTATGAGATCCATGCAGCAATAATAGCCCAGCAAACATGTTCAAACAAACTGTACCCTATCGTTGCATGCCTATAAAAAAATCAAGGGAATGATTCCACAACATCAAAATAATGCCATCTGATTAGGTCCTGCATGTATATACTCGTCGATTTCCTTCAGTTTTTCTTAATAATGGACAAGGCTTTCCATACGATGAGTTTAATAATAGACCACGCTTTCCATATGATGAGTTTAATAATGGACAAGGCTTTCCATCAAAATATGGTACTGTTTGTTTCTTCAAATTTCGGGGTCATTTTTATTTGGGAGTTTCACTAAAACACCCAAAATGGGGGCTGAAATTATAAAAAAACCCAACACCCAAAACACTTTATAAACACACCCAAAACCCATCATTACACACACTCAAAACTCATTTATAAACACACCAAAAAAATATACAATTGTTGATTTTGGATGTGTTTCTATGTTTAAATAGTGTTTGGGTTTTTTTATAAATACATGTCTAGGATTTGGTTTATTTATAAATTTGTATTTTTATTTAAAGGTACCATGTGCGATTGAAAAGATTGCTCCTCCTCATCAGAGCCGCCTTTGTGCATACTTTGACAAATAAATGCTAATGTTTCAAAAGTCAGGAAAAATACTGATGTTAGAAAATGAAAAGCCTAAGCTAAACGTACTCTCGTGTTAAAAAAGAATAAAACTAGGCACGTACTCTGCAATCAACAAAACAATATGGGTGAAAGAACAAAGAAAAAGCCCCAAGTCTATTATCTTGTTCAATGTTACAAGGACCTTAGAGGAAGGTGCTACAGATGTCACTTATAAGTGGCAAACTGTTGTACCTGAGCTGCCCAAAGATCTCTTCCTCAGAGCAATGCCACAAGTGAAGAATATTAATACCAAGGGAAACAAGACTGTGGCAGTATCATTCATTGGCCAGTTTTTGGGGCAAAGTGAGGAGGTTGTTGCATTGCTGAACGAGCGTTTCCCTGAATTGGGTTTACAACAAACAGACTGCCATGAAGTGAGGTGGGTGCAAGCCACTTGTATTTTGGGCTGAGAATCCTATTCGAACTCCCACAGATGTTCTTCTTGACAAGCCAATTGAACCAGCAACCTTCTACGTTCAAAAGCAAGTCTCCTATGTGCTTCTTCATAGAATCATTTTTAGTGATTTTAAGTGATTATGGGGAGAAACACTTTCCTTGTACTTCTCCATAAAGTCACTTAAAACCACTTAAAGTGATTATACGGAGAAATGATTATTGGCCTATCCAGAATCACTCCCAAACGAGATATAGATAACTACGTGGGAGGTGCTTCTCACCAGAAATGATTTGGGCATGTCTAGAATCACTCACAAATCAGTCCTAACTTATCTGTTAAATTTAAAAATATAAAGCCAACTGTTGGTAACCAAAATTTCACAAACTCCTCCAACCGCTTCCGTAAATCCTGAAAACCAAAATAATTAACCACTGGAAACCGCTAATAATTGCTCAAACGACTATGGTATCACCACACTAGGCAAAACAGAACAAAGCATCCATTTGCCCAAAGAAAAGTTTCAAGGCAACAATAAATTAAATAGATTTGGCAGAAAGAAAGAAAGAAAGAAATTAGATGGGATAATTTGCTCAAAAAATAAAAGAAAAAAGAAACAAGCATAATACAATTTATAAAAAAAAACTGCTAGATAGCCTAAAGCAAAGTGATTATTATTATTTATTAGTATAAAATGAAGGCGAAGCCCAACATAAACAAAGATAACTATACCAGGACACTCTTGGCTCAACCTATACATGCATCTTATTTTTATTGCATTAAATTCAATGGGTTTAGTGGTATGCCAATTTACAAGTGATTTTAGACACTTCAATAAGAAATTTATGATGCAAAAGAAAAGAAATTCCGACCCAATGAGAGGGAGGGAAGTTACGATGTACATGGGAAAAACGAAGCTAATGCCTTGTTAGAATGAGAATATTCAATCCAAAATCAAATGATAATGGAATGGAGATGTCCACGACCTTTTGAACGGATACAATCCACCCCCCTTAGGGGTCCGACATCCTCGTCGACACACTCGCACCACACGGCAGAGTAGCTCTGATACCAAATTGTCACATTCCGAATCTGCTTCGTCGTAGCACGATATTGTCGGCTTTGGGCCCCCCTCTCTACCCTCATGGTTTTGTTTCTGGGAACTTACGAGCAACTTCCCAGTGGGTTACCTATCCTGGGATTGCTCTAGCCCCAACTCGCTTAATTTCGGAGTTCCCATGACTTCGAAGCGAGTGAGCTCCCAAAAGGCCTCATACTAGATGGAGGTGGGCATGTACATATAAGGCACATCACTCCCTCTCCGTTAGTCGATGTGAGATGTTACAAGTGGCATGCCTAAGCAATCCACGAATCAGAGTCAGGAGGAGTCGAAGGACAGGGTCCGACCCGAGTTCTCTTGATCCTATCAACCTGATTCAACTTTCAATTTTTCTCAGAAATTGAAAGAGTCCTCCTAGCGAGTCGAGAAGATCCAATCGGGGCATTGGTGTCGATCCGGCGACCTCTTCACTCCGCCGAGCAAGCTGACCCCACGCCTGTCAGAAGGAGTGTGAGATGGAAAAAAGGATCAACAGTATCCTATTTGGGAAATATGGTCTAGCAGCTGACAATGTCATTGATGCTGGAATTGTAGATGCTAAGCCAGAATTGGCCTTTTTGTATTTTGATTTCTTGTTTTGGTCTTGATCCTTTATATAGTTGAAGAAATCGATCTTCATGGCGTTCACAGGAAGGACACTGTGATACAAAGTTAATTTAAAATATGTGAAATTATTAAGAATTTTTGAAGTTTAAAAACTTAAAACTTCACTTGTTTGGTACATGAGACATGTTAAGTCCAACCTTTAGATAACTACAACTATGGGCTGCTAAAATATGAGAACTATGATAGAATATTTGTTTGTGGGAATTTTCTGTGTATTCTTCTCCTTGTAGGAGGTCATATTTATAATACAATAAAACCTGAATGGGCAAGTAAATAATAGATTCCTAAATCTATTTACAGTAGGAAATCAGGAATTAAAGTAAATCAATTACAATTATAATAGGAATCCTTGGTGTGTAAGGAAAGTAAGTCAATATCCACAAATCACGCCAACACTCCCCCTCACGTTGGTGCATAGATGTCGCCAATGCCCAACTGATCCAGTGAATTGTGGAATGCTTTACTGGAAATCGCCTTTGTCAAAATATCCGCCAATTGATCCTCGGATTTCACAAAAGGAAATTGAAACACTTTAGCCTCAAGCTTCTGTTTGATGAAGTGTCGATCCACCTCAACATGTTTAGTACGATCATGCTGAACTGGATTCTGTGCAATGGCTATAGCAGCCTTGTTGTCACAAAAGAGATTCATTGTGGATGTAGGTTTATACCCAAGTTCAGTAAGCAACTTTCTTAACCAAAGAAGTTCACAAATCCCTTTAGTCATACCTCTGAACTCGGCTTCTGCACTGGATAAAGCTACTACATTCTGTTTCTTGCTTCTCCATGTCACCAAATTACCTCCCACGAATGTGAAGTAACCCGATGTGGATTTTCTATCTGTTACATTACCTGCCCAATCTGCATCTGAATAACCATCAATATTTAGATGACCATGCTTTGAGAACATAAGTCCTTTTCCAGGTGCAGACTTCAAATATCTAAGTATCCGAAGAACTGCATTCATGTGGTCTTCACTTGGAGAGTGCATAAATTGACTGACAACGCTCACCGCATAAGCAATGTCTGGTCGAGTATGTGACAAATAGATCAATCTTCCCACTAACCTTTGGTATCTTTCTTTGTTAGTTGGAACTTGATCAGGATATTCTCCAAGATGATGATTTTGAATAATAGGAGTGTCCGCAGGTTTGCAATCTAGCATTCCTGTGTCTGTCAACAAGTCCAAGACATATTTCCTTTGAGATAGAAATATGCCTTGCTGCGATCGAGCAACCTCAATTCCCAAGAAATACTTGAGTCCACCTAGATCCTTCATCTCAAACTCAGTAGCCAAATAGTCTTGTAGCTGTGATATTTCCTGTTTATCATTCCCAGTAATAATCATATCATCAACATAGATTATTAATGCTGTTACCTTCCCTTTCCGATGTTTCAAGAACAGAGTATGATCTGAGTTGCACTGTTTGAAACCATTATTCTTCATTGCCATGGTGAACCGTCCAAACCATGCACGTGGTGACTGTTTCAATCCATACAATGCTTTTCGTAACCTGCAAACTGTTCCAGTCTGAGTAGTATTATATCCAGGAGGAATGTCCATGTACACCTCCTCCGCGAGTTCGCCATGTAGAAAAGCATTCTTTACATCAAACTGGTGTAGTGGCCAATCCAAATTAGCTGCAAGGGACAATAAGACTCTGACGGTATTTAACTTTGCAACTGGTGCAAAGGTTTCTTCATAGTCTATACCATAGGTCTGTGTGTACCCTTTTGCCACAAGTCTTGCCTTGTATCGCTCGATAGATCCATCTGCATTGTGTTTTATAGTAAACACCCACCTACATCCGATAGTCTTTTTTCCTCGTGGTATAGTCTGTAATGTCCAAGTCTGATTTTTCTCAAGAGCTCTCATCTCCTCTTTTATAGCTTGGACCCACTTAGGATCTTTCAATGCTTCAGAGACCTTGGTTGGAATCTGGATAGCAGACAACTGATGCACAAAAGCCTTGAGTGGTTCAGGCAGCTTCTCAGTGGATACATGATTTGCAATTGGATATTTGGATGCCTTGTCAATATCAGGTGAATAACGGTTTGGTGGCTTCCCACGATTTTGCCTGAAAGGTAATTGATATCTAATAGTTTTATCCTCTAAAGGCACAAGTCTAGTAGGAGTATTTACCTCAAAGATATTCTCAGGAGATTGGTCCGTTGGTACTGTTGAGTGAGAGGGGGGGTCTTCATCTTGTTGTTCTGAGTTGTCTGTAGGAGTATGACTCGAATAAAAAACAGCTTTGCAAGGGGTAGGCGATTGATCGTTGTTTGGCAGAGGGCATTCGCACGTGCCAGACTCGGGACGATCGATTGTTATTGTTTCTTGGCCGAGAGCAATCTTTGTGCATAGATGAATATCTTCGTTAATATCTTCGTTTTCCAAGCTGCTCCAATTGAGCTCTTCACTCGGTATCTCCCCCTGAAGAGTAGAATTGGATGCTGGGTCATAGAAAAACATCTCCGATTCTAGAAAAGTGACATCCAAAGTGACATAGGTTCGCCGGGTATGAGGGTGATAACATCGGTAGCCTTTTTGATGAGTGGCATAACCCAAAAAACACAACGAAGCGCACAAGGATCAAGTTTGCTTCGTTGATTTTTGTGGAGATGAACGAAGGCCACACAGCCAAAAATGCGAGGGGTAAGCACCAAAATAGATGGTAGAGGCCCATGTTGCGCCAGCACTTGTAATGGAGTTTTGAAGTTCAAGACCCCAGATGGCATGCGGTTGATAAGGTGGACAGCAGTGATGACAGCATCATCCCAGTGATGACGAGGAACATGGCCACCAATGAGAAGAGCACGGGCGGTTTCAAGGAGATGATGATTCTTTCGTTCGGCAACACCATTTTGTTGTGGTGTCTGGGGACAAGTTGTCTCATGAATAATGCCATGTGTCTGGAAGTAAGTCTGAAAATCATGATTGACAAATTCTCCACCGTTGTCAGAGCGAAGAATCTGTATTCGAGCATTGAACTGTGTTTCCATCTGTTTGTGAAAGGATTGAAACAGGGAAAACACTTCATTCTTATTTTTCATCAAATAAAGCCATGTCATCCGTGTACAATCATCTACGAATGTGACAAACCAACGAATACCAGAATGAGTAGAAATAGGTGAGGGTCCCCAAACATCAGAATGAATTAAAGCAAAAGGAATATTACTTTTATTCATACTTAAAGGATAGGATGCTCTGTGACTCTTGGCTAAAATGCAAGTGTCACATTTAAAATCTGAGTCTTTAAATACAGAAAACAACTCGGGCAATAAGTGTCTCATATAACCAAAAGATGGATGCCCCAAACGTCGGTGCCAGAGCCAAATCTGTCTGTGCTTGTCATCAGACGGATGCTTTACACTATTGGCACATCCCATACTGAAGTCCTCCACATAGTACAACCCCCCTCTTTTAGTACCACGCCCAATGATCTCCTTGGTGAGAATATCCTGTAGCAAACAAAAATTTGGATAAATTAGTGCACAACAATTGAGTTGTTCAGTTGCCTGGCTCACAGACAGTAATTTATTGGACAAAGATGGAACGAGGAGAGTATTAGAAAGGGACAGAGAAGGTGAAAGGGCGACAGTGCCGGCCCCTGTTACAGGATAGGTAACTCCATTTGCATTGGCAATACTTGTGCGGCGGGGTGTAGTGGTGTGCAAAAAATCATTCGGATCAAAGGTCATATGATCAGTGGCGCCAGAATCAATTATCCAACCAGTAGTATCTCGTATATCAGAAGTATGAAATGCATAACCGCAGTTACCTGAGACATCCGGAAGCGCAGGACTATCAGTAGGGTCTACCTGCGGGAACAAGGCTAATTGGGGTTCGGTAGAAACAAGAGCAGCACGGCCGGAATTACTAGCAGTTTCTCTGAGCTTGCGAGCGCGGAGGTCCTCCCACCAATCAGGATAACCATTCAGCTTAAAACAGGTGTCACGGGTATGTTTGGGATTGCCACAGTGCGTGCAACCACTTCCATCAGTCGAAGCCTTGGGACGAGAAGGTGGGATAGTTTTAGGAGGTGGCGCACCAGCAGCAGTAGCATATGATTGGATCTGAAGGTGGGCTGGAGTAGAGGAATTATGGGGCTGTCCGGCACGAGTAGGGGGACCTGATCGAGGCGCACTCTTCGCCGCTAAGCCAGCGCCAGTGGGTGCAGATGAACCCATCATCACTGCTTGTCGAACATCTTCACGGCGAACATAGGCATAAGCTTGGTCCACAGTAGGGAATGGAGTCATGTGAAGAACATCACTTCGGGCCTTATCAAGACGATCATCAAGGCCATCCAGAAATATGTAAACTCGATCTTCCTGTAGAATATCATTATACCGCTTGATATCATTTTCATACTCCATCATATTTGGACGACGGAAATCAATTTCTCTCCATAAGCTTTGGAGAGTATTGTAATAGGTTTCAATAGAGCCGCCAGCTTGTCGCATACGGGAGACTCGTCGTTTCAGATCATAAACCTGAGAGGTGTCAGTGCCATCATAGTAAGTTGTGGCAATTGCATCCCACACTGCTTTTGCCGTCGGAAAACGAATGAAATTGCCAATCAAGCTCTGCTCTAGAGAATTGATGAGCCATCCCTTTACAATAGAGTTCTCGGTGCGCCAGCGAGGAAACGTTGGAGCGGTCAAAGGAGGTTGTGGAAGATCACCATTAATATATCCCAATTTGTCTTTGCCGGAGATATACAACTCTACAACTTGGGACCATAGGGCATAGTTGGTGCCATCCAACTTTATGCCAATTTGTGCAGCGGAAGCTTCATAGGTAATCGTCGTCGGAATCGTTGTCTGATTCGGGTTCAAGGTCGTCGTCTGATTCGAGGTCGGGGTCGTCGTCTGAGTCGAGGTCGGGGTCGTCTTGGTAGGATCCTGGGTTAGGATCAAGTTCGAGGTCTGAGTTTGCATCTGCATTAGTTGAGCCACCTGGGCACTCAGCTCGGCTATGGTTGGTTGAGAAGGAAAGGAGGAAGCAGTGGTGCTACCGCCATGAGGGTTAGAAGAGTCATCCTCCCCCATGGTAGCGGCTAGGGTTTAGAAACTAGAGTCAGCAATCCCAAGAACCGCTCTGATACCATGCTAAAATATGAGAACTATGATAGAATATTTGTTTGTGGGAATTTTCTGTGTATTCTTCTCCTTGTAGGAGGTCATATTTATAATACAATAAAACCTGAATGGGCAAGTAAATAATAGATTCCTAAATCTATTTACAGTAGGAAATCAGGAATTAAAGTAAATCAATTACAATTATAATAGGAATCCTTGGTGTGTAAGGAAAGTAAGTCAATATCCACAAATCACGCCAACATGGGCCAAGCCTCCATCCTGTACATAACAAAAACTGGAAAAACAGAGAGAATGCAAAACAAGAGAATTATCTAATCCCAACAAAATCTTCTTCACTTTCTTATTTATGACTATAGAAAATCAAAACCTAAAGCTCCCTCGGCTCCTCCTTTATAGTTGTTTAGACGGAAGAGTTGGAATGCTCTGTTCATTTCTGAAAAAATTCTCAGGATCCACCTCTGTTTTAATACGTACTAATCTTTCAAAATTACCCTTGAAGTACTTGGTCCCATACACTTTTGCTTCATCGTACCCGCCTTTCGAATTCGTACCAATGTCAAGGTCACGATAGTTGTAGAAAGCCATCCTGGGATTCTTGGACACATAAGGAGTCATTGCTACATAAAGTTTTTTCATCAAACTCAAGTACCTTTTGGTGGACTCAAACCCTTCCTCCTTCCAGTTAACTGAATACTGAATCTTGAACAAGTTGCCTGCTCTATGTGGAAATGGAGTAGCTGTCTCTGGAATCTCACTCATTTTTCCTCCATAAGGATTCCACAGCATCGTAACTTCTCCAATCTCAATCATCACCTTCCATAAGGCCTCCAAATCTGTCTTTGAAATTGGTTGTTTCACGTAATCAGATTTTCGCTTCAGAAACACTTGCCCCTTGGGGACCCTGTTGAGCAAAACCTCAGGGGAAGTGGTTCCATTCTGGTAGTTTGTCCAATATAAAACTGATTGAATCCAACTCATTTCATGGCAATCTGTTTTCTGCAAACCCAATTGAGGAAAGCTTTGACTCATCAGCTTCAGAAGTCTTTCAGAGTTTCCTAGGAACAAGGACATGAAAGACACCTCGATCGTTCCATTCGCTGGCTTAATAATTGCTCTTATGAACAAATCGTGATCTAGCTTATCAGCAACTTGTTGCCATTTCACAAGAATTTCTGTTGCGCCTTGTGCCAATGTCCTTTTTACTTCGAACACTGTTACCGTGGCAGGAACCCGAACGAACTTGATTTTCCAGGCAAGAATGACTCCAAAACTTGATCCACCACCCCCTCTAATGGCCCAAAATAGATCTTCACCCATGGCCTTTCTATCAAGGATTTTACCATTTACATTTACTATTTTTGCATCCACAATGTTATCAGTTGAAAGTCCATATTTTCTCATCATGTTACCATAACCACCTCCTGTGAAATGTCCACCAGCACCAATACTAGGACACACACCAGCAGGGAAGGCATGGTTCTTGCTTTTCATAGAAATTGCATAGAAAATTTCACCAAGTATTGCCCCAGATTGGACCCATGCACTTTCATCCGCCATATCAATATTGATGGACCGGAGATTAAACATGTCGAGAACGATGAAATCTTTTGTATTTTGGGACACATAGGAGACACCCTCATAGTCATGTCCACCGCTTCTTATCCTGATTTCCAAGCCAAGGCTTTTGGCACATATGACAGTGGCTGGAACATGGGATTCATGCTTGGCTGCTACAATTAGCAGCGGTTTTGGGGTTGTCGGGGATATAAATCTGAGGTTTCTCACATATGACTGCAGAACAGAGGAAAAAGAGGCACTTTTGGAGGTGTAAATTGCTTCAGAGATTGGATTTGATCGCTGAGAATGTTTGGAAAGGCATTGGAGAAAATTGTATTCAACTGAGGATGAATTGGTACATGAGACTGATATCACACAAAAGATTGACAAAACTGCAGAGACTAGTATTGCACATTCTAAAGCCTTCATTTTTCCAGGCAATGCTGATGTTTCTAATGATCTCAGGGGTGGGATGGAGATGGGTTTTTAAGCTAAATGTGCCTTAGAAGAGAAGAGGATGAGAAAACTTGCATGGTTTTAGGGTTGGCTGTTGGAGCTCATCTCTTTAGGATTAGTGTATGATTTTTCAGAAGTAATTAAAATGGTAAAAAAAGCTGTGGTTGAATTTGTAAGGTTCATGACTTTCAGTGGATTTATTTTTGTATGATAAAAAAAGGTTCCTAATGATAGAAATTTTGTGGACTGAGTGCCGGTTCTCAAGGGGAGCAAGCAACTGTGTGATTGCTCAAGGCCCCAATTCAATTATAGAAAAGATATCTGAATAAAAGAAAACTGTAGGAATGAAATCTGAACAACAGATATTTGCAGGAAAAAAAATCTTTGTGTAAAGGTTGAATTTGTAAAGATCATGCATTCTATTCCATCAAGAAAAAAAATAAAGATTACTGGCAATTTTTTTTTTGGATAAAAAAGAATAACTTTCATTCATAACTTTCACCAATAAATGAGAGAATGTTCACTACTATTACACGTTTGCTCAGTACAAAATTTTGTACCTTTAAGCACAAGTATTCCGATGTAGCTAAAAACAATTTTTATTGTCCTAATGTCATGTGCTCTGCTGCCAAGCTTCACTTCGTCTGTCTAAAGAGGTGGTATACTTTGTTCATTCCTGAAGAAATTTTGAGGATCAACCACGGTTTTCACACGTACCAATCTATCAAAATTATCTTTAAAAAACTTGCTGCCATAAACCCTAGCAATGTCAAACTCTGTCTGATTATGAAGATTAGCGCCAATATCAATATCCCTGTAGTTTAGGAAGGCCTCTCTTGGGTTCTTGGAGACAAATGGAGTCATCGCTTCGTACAGGTTTCTCAAGAAGCTGAGGTACTGGTTGGTAGTTTCAATTCCTTCCTCTGTCCAAGACATATAATACTGAATCTTGAATAGGTTTCCAGCTCTGTGAGGGAATGGAGTGGCTGAGGCAGCAATCTCATCCATTCTTCCACCATATAAGGGTTCCATTGCACATACACTTTCTCGATCTTATGCACCATTTGCCAAATGGATTCTGTTCCTTCTTTTGGAATTGGTTCTTTCACATAATCGGACTTACTTTTGAAGAAGAATGTTGGTATATTTGTCCTGTTAAGTAGAACATTGATGGGAGTTCCAATTGGGTAGCCAGCCCAAAATACAGTGGATTCTACCCAACTCATTTCGAAGCAGTCTTTGAGCTCTAAACCAAGTTCAGGGAAGCTCTCATTTATCAACCGAAGAAGCTCATAAATTTGACCCAAAAAGTGACCACTGAATGAGACTTCCACGGCCTTTTTCTTCCCCTCTCCATTGCTGACTTGCGAAGTCGCTCTTATGTAGGTGTTTTTAGGCAGCTTAGGAGCAACGTATTGCCATCGGTAAAGGACGTCTAGGGCACCTTGTTCAATGCTTCTTGTAACATTGAACACAGTTACTTTAGCTGGAACTCGAAGTAACTTAATCTTCCATGAAAGAATGACTCCAAAGCTTGCTCCACCACCTCCTCTAATGGCCCAAAAAAGATCTTCTCCCATTGAATTTCTATCAAGAATTGTGCCATTCACATTAACTAGCTTAGCATCTTCAATATTATCCGCTGAAAGCCCAAATTTTCTCATCGTAGGACCATACCCGCCACCACTAATAAGGCCACCAGTCGCAACAGTTGGGCAAACTCCAGCTGGAAATCCATGAACCTTACTTTTCTCAGCAATTTTGTAATAAAGTTCGCCTGCCGTGGCCCCAGCTTGAACCCAAGCGCTTTCATATGTGACATTTATTTCAATTGATCGAAGATTAAACATGTCAAGAATGAATGGGACAGATGAAACGTATGATGGGCCCTCGTAATCGTGGCCACCGCTCCAGATTCTAATATGCAAAGCATGTTGTTTTGCACAAACCACAGTTGCTTGGACATGAGATTCATGCATGGCTGCAATAATAGCCCTTGATTTTGGAATTGTAGGTGTTGAATATCTGCGGTTTTTTATGTATGCATTCAAAACATATTGAAACGAGGTATTTTTTTGTGTGTAAATGGTTTCAATGATTGGGTAGGAGGACTCAGAAAATTTGGGAAGGCACTGAAGGAAGTCATTGAGATCCGCATAGGCAGTTGCCCATGAGACTGAGGACAGAAGGACTGAGAGAACAAAGAATAATATTGCTTTAGTGGTTGGCACCTTCATCATTTGTCGAAATATTTTTTTTTCGTTGAAAACTAAACCGCAGTTTATGGCTCTTCTTCACTTGGTTGGCTCACTTGGTTGGCAGTATTTCTAGAGAAGTCAAAACCACTGAGAACAGTTTTTTTATTTTGGTCAAAACCATGTACATAGATAGATATGCTACAAAGAATTTTAGTAAATTTAGGTTTTAGTCATAAAAAAATTTTCACTTTTGGAAAAAGCCAAAACTTTAAAAAAAAACAGAAAAACCTCTCAACTTTCAAATCAAAGACATGCAAGTGTAAATGATTTCTTAGGAAATCCAAAAATAAATAAAGGCAAATTTGTCCATTTTGGCTTCTTTTACAAAATTTCTCTCTCCTTTGGGTTTTTCCAAAGTCTCCCAAGAATTTTATGGGCTAAAAGAGAGAAACCTTGAACGCCTTGCTAGATCTGCTTACCAATAAGAAAATCTGGCCAAATGAAGAAATTAGTTTCATTGAATTGGAAGGCTTATAAATTTCCAAGGGACAAAATTTAGAATTTGACGTGGCTTCCAGATGCACAAGGATGTGTTTTTGGGCTTAGGTCAAATCAAATCGTGAGAAATATTGGAGCAAAAATTAGTACAGGTCAAATGTTGGATCTTAGTAATGCTGTACAATGCCATTCACCTTGCAATTCAAAGCTAGTTGGCTAAATCATTGTCTTAATTATATAATAGGACTTTGTATTTTCACATTGGACATGAGTTACAAACATGAATAAATTTCATAGAAGAATTTAAAAAAAAAACATTAATTTATAATTTAAGGAGTTGTTAAAATAAATTGTGGCGTTGACTTTAATTAGGAGATTTAATTCTTGTTCTTATTATTTTATATCTTTCTATTTTGTACAGTTCTTGTGCAATTAGGACTTTATTTATTTCCTTGTTATTGAATTGAACCCCAATAATGCTACTGGCATCAATTTGTTTACCAACTTATTCATATCAAAACATGTGGCACATGATATGGCAGTCCAAATCATATGTCATCTCATTCTTTTTTTTTCTTTTTTTCTTTTTTTGCCAAGGTTGAGATTTACGACTCTCTTTACTTTATTTTTATTGACATGGGTATCGCTAGTGTCAGATCTAAACTTTAAAAAATTCAAGAAATCCAATGATTGTTCTCTCATGAAATATAATAACCGAACTTCCAACAAAAACATATTTGCAACCTCGCTTAATTCAATTACTTCGATGCGGTGGCGGAGTCCATGTACAGGACTTGGCCATATATTTATATATATGTATGTATGAGCAAATAAATAGAAAGAGAAAATTCATATAGCAAATAAAAATAAATCCGATAAATGGATGAGCATGCAGCGAAAGGAGTAAGTTTCTCAAAAATCTCTTACCCACCGTAATTTACCCTTTCATTTCGACATGGGTCTCAAACCCAAATAGCTTTACGAATTAAAATCTTGAGTACAAATTGTTTGTCTTGATGGATTTTTATTTATATTTCGTTGTTGTGTGCCAAACTCCAAGACTACTGTATCTATTCAAAAGCCAAACAGTACAAAATAAAAAGAAACTGTGGGACAAAAAGTAGCAGCAGATGAAATAGGGCAGGCAACCTCCCCCCATGAGAGTTTTGGCAACCTTGGTTTATCCTCGACGTAGAAGACTGACCCCAAAGGAAATTGCGCACACAATGTCGGATAAGGAAAAGGTACACCTTGTAGACTCTTCTGGCCGTGCCAACTTTGCCAACCATCTAGAAATTGAGAAAGGTATAGAACAAGAACAAAGAACTACAAAGCCGCATTCTTTGGGTCGCAATTCAACTGCGGCAGGCGGCAAAAGAGAATAAAAAAATCTGGAGCTTTCTGATATGAGGTTGGTATCAATGAATGTGATGGTGGGATCCAAATCAGGCTCTGGAAATGGGTTATTCATTGACTTTTTGACTATCTGACTCTCTTTGCATATGAATGGACGTATTCTTCTCTTCTCTTCTCTTGGGCTGGGTTAGGGAGTTGGGAAGTGGAAAAGTCCTAATTGGTTAATGTGTTGTAATTAATAATAAAGAATTAATGAGGGTAAACTTGGAAAATAAAAACTACTTCATCTAATGCATTAATGACATTGTTTGAAGTGTAAGCAAATTGACACATGTCATGAGTAAAAGAAAGAAAGTCCAAAAGAGAAGGTTGCGCATTTCCCAATAATTTTCTGATAAAAATAAATAAATGCTTATGTGTCATGACTTAAATGGTTGAATAATTTTAATGGTTCATATATTTTGAAATGCAGGTAAATGCATGAATGTTAAATGCAAGGCTTGGAATACATCATTTAACAATGAAGTACCATAAACTTCAAGAGCTACTTCATTTGACTAAAATTTCCCCAGATCTGAGCAGAAACACAACCACTGAAAATATTGAAAGAAAGAAAATATGCTCTGTGATGAGCTTCCCATATTCCCCTTTTTCTTTTTCTGTCTCCTAACGAGGTGGGATACTTTGTTCATTCTTAAAAAAATTATAAGGATCAACCATGACTTTCACACGGACCAGTCTATCAAAATTTCCTTTAAAATACTTGCTTCCATAAACTTTCGCAGTTTCAAATTCCGTATGATTCTGCCGATTGGCGCCAATATCGAGATCCCTATAGTTTTGGAAGGCCTCTCTGGGGCTCTTGGAAACATATAGAGTCATTCCTTCATACAATTTTCTTACAAACCCAAGGTGTTGTTTGAGGGTTTCAGCCCCTTCTTCCGCCCAATACGTCACGTATTGAATCAAAAATAGGTTTCCATCTCTATGAGGAAATGGAGTTTCCCACTCCGGAATCATACTCATTCTTCCACCATAAGGGTTCCATTGCATCAACACTTTGTCCATCTTAAGCATAATTTGCCAAATGGATTCAATTCCTTGTTTTGGAATTGGTTCTTTCACATAATCAGACTTACTTTTGAAGAAATTTGGTGGCCCCTGTGGCCTATTAAGTAGAAAATTTACGGGAGTTCCAATTGGCTGGTCTGCCCAGAATAGAGTAGATTCTACCCAACTCATTTCAAAACAATCTTTTAGTTGCAAACCCAGTTCAGGGAAACTTTCATTCATCAATGGCACAAGCTTGTCCCTTTGTCCTAGAAAGAGACCAACGAATGATACTTCCACAGTCTTCTTGCCCTCGGTACTATTCTTCAGTCGCGTAATTGCTCTGATGAAGATTTCATCAAGCAGCTTTGGTGCTACGTATTGCCACTTATAAATGACATTTAGGGCACCTTGCTCCCAAGTTCTTTTAACGTTGAATACAGTCACATTGGCTGGAACAGGAAGAAGCCTGATGTTCCATGAAAGAATGACCCCAAAGCTTGCTCCGCCACCTCCTCTAATGGCCCAAAAAAGATCCTCTCCCATTGAGTTCCTGTCAAGAATTGTCCCATTCACATTAACAAGTTTAGCATCTTCTATGTTATCCACTGTAAGGCCATATTTTCTCATCATAGGCCCGTACCCGCCACCACTAAAGTGACCACCAATTCCAACAGTTGGACAAGTTCCCGCTGGAAACCCATGAACCTTACTTTTATTTGCAATTTCATAATAAAGTTCACCGATAGTAGCCCCGGCCTGAACCCAAGCGCTCTCATCCGCGACATCAATATCAATGTATCGAAGATTAAACATGTCAAGAATGATAAAGGGGACATCGGATACGTATGATAAGCCCTCATAATCATGGCCACCACTTCGGGTTCGAATCTGCAGCCCGTGTTGTTTCGCACAAATCACAGTTGCTTGGACATGAGATTCATGCAGTGCTGTGACAATAGCCAATGGTTTTGGAGTTGCAAGTGTAGAATATCTGCTGTTCCTAATGTATCCCAACAAAACAGATTGAAATGAGGTATTCTCATGGGTGTAAATGGCTTCAAAGATTGGGTAGGCAGATTGAGGTTGTTTGGGAAGGCATTGGAGGAAGCCAGTGAGAACTGGATCTGAAGTTGTCCATGACACTAAAAGCGAAAGGACTGAGAGAACGAAGAGTACTCGTACCTTCATTTGTTTTTTTTCCCTGGCTCTTTCGCTTCTTCGTCGTATTTACAATGAAGTGATTGCCCCGGAATATATATTTTTTAGCGACTAGTTAGTTCTTCCTAATTAAGACCACCCTGACCAAGTAATTAGGGTAACACAATAAAGTTGAAAAGTAACGATTGGATTTCTTGCCAAGTCGGATGGCGAGTACATGTATAATCATTGTTTATTTCTTTCTGCGAATCTATTTGATTTCTTGCCGTACCTTAAACATAACATTTTTCCCTAAATAAATTATATCGGAGTTAATTACTTGAATTATCGTTCTGATTTTTAGGTAACTTTGAAATAGATCGTATACTATTTTTGGAATTAGATCGTAAACACTAACACCCCTGAGGTTTTTTACTTTTTCACAAAACTCCCTGAGGTTTTAGAAATTACACGAACACCCTTTGAGGTTGTAAATTGTTTTCACACAAAATACCTTTAATTTCATTGATTTTTCATCCAAAGATTGATGATTTTATACAATAAATTCTCCAAATGACAAAGTTAGCATTTGAGATTAGATTGCATAAAACAAACAAAATGAGAGAAATTGTACCAATTACAAACTTCGAACCCAAAAACCAATCGTGAAGAAGACAAATGGTGGGCATTTCGGCTGTTGCTATTCTTCTGGAAATAAATGCGGTACTACAACTCAAAAGAAGAAGGCAACAGTCACGCTTATTAATTTTCCATTATTTATTCGTGTTTAACTCTCTCACATTTCAATTTATTGATTACATATGATCCAAAAGTAACTTTCCAATTTTCCCGAGAAATAAATGTATTTTACTTTCTAATACACGTTTATTAAGTTTCCAAAATTGCATTTAAAATACTTGCTTCCATAAAGTTTGGCACCAATATCAAGATCCTTGTAGTTCTGGAAGGCCTCTTTTGGACTCTTGGAGACAAATGGAGTCATAACTTCGTACAACTTTCTTGAAAAGTTGAGGTATTTGTTGGTGGTCTCGGTTCCTTCGTCATCCCATAACACAAAGTAATGAAGCATATATGCTTAACAAATATGCTTAATGAAAAATAGGTTTCATGTGTTGTATTCTGTTTGGAGACTTTGTATTTCATGAATAATCTTCGTCTTCCACTGCCACAAGCATTGGAGTGGCAGTAGAAGAGGAGGCTTATCTTTTTAAGAATTAAATATCTGTCACAACGAACCTACACGTCGGCATAGAGGTAAAATCCAGAAAATTCATGGCTCTCTCTCTCTAAAGTGGTGGAATACTTTGTTCATGCTTGAAAAAATCCTGAGGATCAACCATTGTTTTTACTTGTACCAATCTGTCAAAGTTATATTTAAAATACTTCCTTCCATAAAGTCTAGCCTTGTGAAAGTTTGTGTGGTTGCGCAGGTTGGTACCAATGTCTAGGTCCCTATAGTTTTGCAAGGCCTCTCTTGGGTTCTTGGAGACATAAGGAGCCATACTTTTATACAATTTTCTCGACAATTTAATATAGTGATTGGTGGTCTTAATCCCTTCTTCCATCCAAGATATAAAGTACTGAACCGAATATAGGTTTCCAGCTCTATGAGGGAATGGAGTTGCTGATTCAGAAATCTCACTCATCCTTCCTCCGTAGGGGTTCAATTGCATCCACACCTTCTCTATCTTAATCAGCTTCTTCCATATGGATTTGAAACCATGTTTTGGAATTGGTTCTTTCACGTAGTCAGACTTGCTCTTGAAGAAGATTGCTGGCGCCTTTGGCCTAGAAAGTAGAACATCTATTGGAGTTCCAATTGGGCAAGCAGCCATGAACACAGTGGATTCTATCCAACGCATTTCAAAGCAATCTTTTTGTTGTAAACCCAATTCAGGGAAACGCTCATTTACCAATGGAACAAGCTTGTCACTTTGTCCCAAAAACTGACCAGTGAATAATACTTGCACTGTCTTCTTCCCCTCTTGGCTACTATTCTTGACTTGTATACCTACTCTAATGAAGATGTCTTCAGGGAGCTTAGGTGCAACGTATTGCCATTGATGGAGCACATCGGTAGCGCCTTCTTCCAAGGTCCTTCTAACATTGAACATGGTCACTTTAGGTGGAACTCGAATCAACTTGATCTTCCATGAAAGAATGACTCCAAAGCTGGCTCCACCACCACCTCTAATGGCCCAAAAAAGATCTTCTCCCATTGTATTTCTATCAAGGATTATACCATTCACATTCACTAGTTTAGCATCTTCAACGTTATCCACTGTTAGACCATATTTTCTCATAAGTGGACCGTACCCACCACCACTAAAGTGGCCACCAATACCAACACTTGGACAAGATCCAGCTGCAAACCCATAAACCTTACTTTTCTGTCCAATTGCATAGTAAAGTTCACCAATAGTAGCCCCAGCTTGAACCCAAGCACTCTCATCTTCAAGATTCATATCAACAGATCGAAGATTGAACATGTCAAGAACAACAAAGGGAAGATCCGATACGTATGATAAGCCCTCATAATCATGGCCACCACTTCGGATCCTAATTTGCAACCCGTGTCGTTTTGCGCAAATGACGGTTGCTTGGACATGGGATTCATGCTTGGGTGCTACAATAGCCAAAGGTTTTGGAGTTGTAGGTGTAAAGTATCTGCGGTTTTTAATGAGTGATAACAACACATGGGGAAATGAGGTGTTTTGAGGGGTGTAAATTGGAGGGTTGGACTGAGATGTTTCTCCAAGGCATTGAATGAAGTCATTGAGAACTTGTTGAGATTTTTTGGGAAGAAATTTGAGGGAGACATTGAAAGCACTTGTCCATGATGTTGGTATCGTCTTTATTGGTGGATCAAGACTAGCACAGAAAGGAATGATAGAATGAACCCTACTGCAGAGCAAGAGGGATGAGACAATGAAGGGTATTATTGCAGCTCTTGGTTCCTTCATCGTTTTTGGAATTTCTGCAACTCCAATATATTTTGATCTCAATCAACAACAATTGCTCCTATAGAGTAAGCTTTATTCAGAATAATAAAACCAGAATTAATTAGTCCAGAACTTGCAACGTTAAAATTAATTGGTTGGAAACTTGCAACATCAAAATTAACTCATCGGTTGAAGAACAAAGAAAATAGGTTCAAGGATATTGAGAAATTGCAACGTAATAATATATATATATATATATATATATATATATATATATATACACATATTCAAGCAACTGTGCAAAAAATTAGCTAGGGTGTTTTATATTGGAGAATCAGTGTGTAAGTACCACAATTCCTTCCCAGTCCAAAAATGAAATTTGTTGTATGATTCAAACTCCCAAATATTAAGAAAATATTACATTTATTGGATAAATGGTAGTTTGTTCTTGAGATCAACATCTTGTTAATTGGAATGCAAATATTGGAGTTAAGTAGATGAACACGTATCAAGAAATTAGGGAAGGAACATATAAGGACATAGAAAATGGAGACAGCATATCCAGACTCGTCAGATCAAGCTCAAGCAAAGTCTTCTCTTTCTATTTTTTTCCCTATAAATTTCAGATTGAAATATTACTTACGTATCTATCATGGGCAGCAGATTTTGATATTATGCAATTCCAAATTTCAATTCAAGGACATCTGATTAAAAATAAATAAAACACAGAGTACTTAACCAGGAGCATTTCTGACGACCAAACGGTAACAAAATAATGTAATTTAAATATTTTTTTTTTTTATTTTTATAAATTTATGGGAGACACCATTAACAACTTTGAAATATTAGTCAGAATCAGACGATGTCCTTTCATGTCAACTCTCACTCAATTCTTATAATTGTTTTTATGCTTATGACATATTTACTAATCCGTAATTGGATTAGGAGGAATTGAATTGAGGATGAATTGAATTGAGGAGGAGTTGGATGGAGGAGAATTAGATTCCGGATTCCTATTAAAGTTGTTTACTAAACCATATGGATTGGGGGGAGTAAAATTTCGGATTTCTATTGAAGTTGTTTACTAAACCATATGGAATTGGGGGTAGGAGTTGTACTAATTACTAAAATGTCCTCATTGTTTGATTAAAGTAGATGACAAATTTGGAATTTTGAAAATATGTGAGGATATAATGGGTAAAAAAGATGAATTCCTAATGAGTTAGTTCTCTAGGAATTAGAATACTATTTTTCACCCAAGAATTGAACCTCTCCAAAATCAGGAATTCAATTCGTAATTTTGTGTAGGCCCCACTTATTTTTCAATTCCTTGATGTGAAGTAAACGCAGGAATCCTCAATAGGTGGAATTCAATTCTTGATTAGTAAACACATCATTAGTTATAAATTTGTGGCCATATTCATTCTGAAATGAGATGTGGTGCTTTGAGATGCAAAGAACAAGCGTTTTTTCTTCTAGCAAATTCCGACAAGTAAGAGGGAAGGATGTAGAAATGTAAATGTTTGGGTGATTGAGCGGCCAAATAGTTGAAAATCACGCCAAACTTTAGTAAGTTTTTTAAAAGTAAGGGGGGGTGTATTCAATTAGAATTGTATACGATTTTGAAAGATTTTTTTTAAGTGACAGATTTCCTGGAATTGTATAACTTCTATAGGTTTTACCCGGATTTTTAATAAACTTGTATAGGCTTTTATTATAGACTTCTATACTTTGGTATGAACTTTTGTTATAGATTCAGATATATTTGCATAGACTTCCCAATACTATTTTCTTTTATCACTCTTTCTTCCCAACACTATTTTCTTTAAACTATCTTGACCTAGCCACTAGTAGACCATCCCTTTTTTTCTTTTTTCTTTTTTTTCTCCAAATTCTTCCTCTACTTGTGTGCACAACAATGAATTTTCCTTTGAAATTTCCATGAGTTGGAAACTTTCATACCTAAACAATGAATTTCCTTATGAAATTTCCACGATTTGAAAATTTCCCTTTGATTTTGTTCAAGAATGGCAAACTCTTCATCCAAAAATTCAATTAAACAATGAATTTCCCTTTGAAATTTCCACGAGTTGGAAATTTCCCTTTGATTTTGTTCACGAACAGCAAACTCGTTCAAAATCCAAAAAATAAAAAAAAAAAAAAAAAAAAAAAAAAATCCCTCCCTTGTCCAAAAAGCAAGGGCCCTATCATCTGGTAGTGTTATGGGTGATGGAAATATATCTCTACCTTCCGCCGTCTTGACGTTTCCAGGGGAACTTATCGGAGATCGAGAAATCTCTAGCCGAGCTTTCCTCCCAGCAACTCCAAATGGTTGATTTGAAGAAATCACTAATGGAGGAGCTTTGCTTAATACAGGATGCTTGTAACCACCCAAGGTCAGTGCATGGCTTAGTGCATTGTTTGCCAAACTATGGAAAAATTTCTAACACAGAGAGAAAAAAAAAACAAAAAAAAAACATCATGAAATCTTTGGGGTGGAGGTTGGACTTATGTTGGCCTTTATTATTTATACCTAACTACAAATTCTCCAAACTCCAATATTTAATTAAATCCTTCCAAATCTATCTCCTTTTGAATACAGGTAAATTTATTTGGACTTTTTCCAAGTCCTAATTGAATACACCCACATTTATATGGACATTTTAAAAGTTCAAACAAGTCTAGATTGACACCCAAACTATTATAGACTTTTTAAAAGTTTGTATAAATTCAAATTGAATACACCAGGATTTTAAAATCTTTTTAAACACTCTAGAATCCTAATTGAATACACCCTCCTAACTTTTTAGATACCATCAGACTTTTAAATACTTTTTAAAAGTCACAATTGAATACCACTATACTTTTATAAACTCTTTAAACAACTAAATTGAATACCTCCTAACTTTTAAACTATACACTCTCTTAACAAGAGAGGGAAATTAAAATGATGGAGAATTTTTTTTAATTATAAAATTTATAAACATTCATGACAACTTTAAGTGTTGATTCCAATGTAAATTAGTACTTTCTAAAATCAGTATTAATTATCATATTCAATCTTAATCGTCCAAATCTCTTTAAATCCAATGGTTAATAAGGTACGTGTGTTATAATGCGTGTGAAA